GCTGTTTTCAACGGCCGTTGAGTAATTCAGGTGTTCCCGCAAAAATTTCGTGGCGCCGCAAGTTTTTATTTTTGTTTTCATGTCATCGTAAATAAAATCATATCTACTTAAAAGCACACTACTCTTGCTTGTTGTCTGTGTTTAAACCTGTCAATAAATGTTTATAGCACTTTTAAATGCATAATTAGTTTTAACCGTTGAGCAAACTGTGGAAACGCTATAACTGCTTTATTTGCTGTTCTGCGGTTGTGTTTACATGTTTACACGTGCCAGAGTGCGCTGTGACAGCTGGCTGTTACGACTACGAGCTTGTGTGCAGCCGTCATGAAACACGTAACAGATGACAACGCCGCTATGGTGTTCTATATGAGCACGATTATACAGCTTGATGCTGGGATCGAAGCGGCGAAAGAAGAAGCTGATGCTATCGAGGAAGAGCTGCTGCTCGTGAACTATTTGGTGACGACAATGGACGCGGTGTCCAGGCAAAGTGTGGACAGGGAAAGTCAGACCGCTGCTCGAGCGCCAGAACGGCGCTGGCGCGGCTCTTTTCCATTTTGGCGGCGGTGCACACGGTAGTGCGTTTGCCATAGCAAACAAGCACAAAACACTTCCTTGGCCAAAAAAAAAGTGTCTTTGCCACACGCACACACACACACACACACACACACACACACACACACACACAAACAAATGAAAAAGCGCTACACAACCCTTCAAGAGTCGAAAATAGACATGAGAAAATGAAAAATATAAAAAAAAACACACGAAGGTAGAGAGCAAAAAAAGAAAACGAAACGACCAAAATGGCGGCAGGGACACACTAGCGCTAGGGCAATGATAGGCCACATCATGGTGGCACCCTAACGGCAATAACGAGCACTGTTTCGGGCGAGTGTTGAGCTAGAGCTATTTGTACACTCCCAATGACACTAATACTATATTAAATAACTTATAATGTCCATAAATCATCATCATCATCATCATCAGCCTGACTACGTCCACTGCAGGACAAAGGCCTCTCCCATGTTCTGCCAGTCAACTCGGTCCTGTGCTTGCTGCTGCCAATTTATACCCGCAAACTTATTAATCTCATCCGCCCACCTAACTCGTCCGCTTTTCTCAGTGTTTTTTTTTTTTTTCGCTAAGAGTATCCATGTCTAATATTGACGGATGCCCATGATGTAAATAAGCCCTCTATGAATGAAATGTCTAACGAACTTCGGTATTTCTTATAGCATCACCTCTTTCAACGAGCCAGCTCACTCCGCATAGGTTTGCATATGCATCTAAACATATTTCTTAGCATTTAGCGCACCATCTTAAAAAAAGAACAATATCGCGCGCAGTTCTAAAACGTTTCGCACTGCTCTGTAGTCAAGGCCAAGATGTGCCCCAGTGGCCTTGTCATTAGGAGAAGCTCTGTAGCAGGCACCATCACACCGCTCCCTAGCTAAGTGTGGACCTCATAAAGCGAGATTCACACGAAGGAGAAATCCCCGGAGGAGAGGCGAGGATGGCGCATCACGTGACAACGACGTCACGGGTTAGTGTGACAACGCGACTTTCTTGCGGCTCCTCGGAGGAGGCGGCGATCGCTTCTCCGACCGGTCAAACGATCGCCGTGCAGTGGGGGATGTAGCGGAATTTCGGGTGGGTCTCTGGCCACATTGTAGCCCTCTCTCCTGCAGTGCCTGCAGAACCCGGCGGCGGCGGCTGTTCCAAATTACGCTCCAGACTTGCGTGCGCCGTGTTGGCAAAAATGAACGATAAAACAACTTTTTTTCTTCTCTCTCATGGAAGAATATCCTCGCTAGTGGAACATCTCTTGCGATGACGATAGTAACACTAACCTAAAGAATGGTCTGTGGGAGATGACAGTCAAGCAGGTGATGGAGCGCTACCACCTTTATGAAGTGACAGTTTTGTTTTAAAGTGGTTATTCAGATAAGAATTCTGACATCACATGTTTTGTTGTTGTTACTGCTGATGCTACTGCTTGTTCAGCCTGGTGGAGATGTCTTACTTTATAACGAAATTTCTTTAACGGGCCTCATTATTCAAGATTAGACGCTTGAAATATAGGCAGCCGTAGAATCCGAGAGCAGCTTTTTATTTTAAGAAACATGACATACTTCACATTTTACTTTATCGGCTGCACTGATACAGCAGAACCTTAGGCTCAGTTCACATAGTGAAGACAGAAGTGGTCTTCTATTACCTTGTGTTTCGAAATTGTAATGAAAAGCTTGTACAGATAACTGTCAAACATTAATAGGCTAGATCCTTTCCATTCTCGGTTGTTCTCACGAGAGAAATGCTGATAGCATAATTCCTTCCTTGACAGAAAGCCAACCGATATCGAAAGATACTGAAATTCCTATTTACCAACTCCATAGTAGTATTGGACGAGTCAGAGAGGCTGTGAGCAATTTTGTAGTCGGAAAAAAAAAAAGCCATCGTCAATGACACTGCCTGGAATGTCGCTTTGGGCGAGTTCGTTTTTGCAAAAAAGAAAAGCTTGTGGTGGCAAGTCAAACCAAGAGAAACGCCACGTCTGCATTCCGCACAAAGAAAAAGACATATGAAGAAGAAAGTTTCTAAAAGCAGCAAAGCAGCAGGGGGGGGGGGGGGGGTGCAAAACGGACACTTCCCTCAAACCACACCAGCACTTTCCTCACCCAAGAAACACCAGCGCTTTCCTCCTTCTCCAGTCAAGACACAATGCGGCTTTGAACCCCCCCCCAGACGAAAGCTTGCCGATATCTATGGCTGGGGATCCAAGAATTCTTCAGTGCTCCCGCTCCACTATATAGTGGAGGCTCTGGCCACACTGATCTCCCCACCGTTCGCCTCATCCGAGTGAATGAGGGACATTTAGGGGGACTTATCCTCGCCTGATGACATCACTAGGCTCCATCTTTATCCTCGGTGTATTTCTCCCTTGTGTGAATCCCGCTTAAGTAAACGCAGTAGCTATAAGATTCTGCACAAAGGTCGGCAGTTACGCACTTGCAGCGGAGGAGACAACTTGAGGCTGTAAACAAAAACCCATGAATGGCTGCGGATGTCTCAGGCTGACACAAAACATTGTCACCATAAAACTTGAAGCTGAGGCGCTGTCATCTTCAAACTCTAAGCTCGACCTCACTCAATTCAGGTGCGGTTGCAAGAAAGTTTTGAGTGGTTCGTGTTTTTCAGTGCTAGTGCACACCCATGCGCGCGTGCCAATGACACCATAGGAGCAACTAGTGACGCTAGATGCGACTCTGTGTCTGATATAACTATGCAAGCAAAACCAAAGCTGCTGGAAACTGGCTGAGATGGCCACCTCGACACTTTCAACATGCGGCAAACCTTCGGAAATATTTTTTGTAGAATAAATTTTCCTTGACTCCTAGCAACTGCTCTCTGTTTAATAGCTGGTATGAATTTCTGGCAATTATTACTACTCAACACTATCAAATTGCGAAGCTGACACTAATTCGATATTTGACTTGCAAAAGTTCTTTTCATTACATAAATGCGATCTTACTGTAGCACAATCACGTGGGGCGCACACTTTTTTCAAGTTTGCCAGCGTAGTGCATATTTCCACAACACACGCACATTGGTTTGCACAAAGGTCTGCCAAAAATCCCCATGAAGACAATGCAGGCAAATTCAAATTGTTTCTGAAAGTTGAGTGGCTGGACTAACTACCATAAAGTGCTGTGTGCACGAAACAAATTTAATACGCCAAAATAGGCGATTCAAAACATTGATCACCAGTGATCGATCTGAATAGGCGTGTTAACGAAAGAGTTAAAAGGGGCCCTGAAACACTTTTTCAAGTAACCATAGAATGAACTCTCTAGAAAAGCTTATTGCCTCCCGAATTAAATGGCACAAAAATTTTAAAAATCTGTCCAGTGCGAGTGTAGTTACAAAGATTCATCGCATGCTGTGATTGCATTCTCTCTTCTCTCGTCCCGACGAAAACGCTGGAAGCTAAGCAGGGAGGGATGGCAGGTGCAAAGAAAAACGTCACGCGTGCTTGTGACCTTGAGCACTTTTTTTTCGTTTCTTTTCCTTTGAATGCACGGCTTTTTCAGTGTGATCATGTGCACACGTGTGCACAAGTTGCAGCCTCCCGTGGCAATTCTGTAAAGACCAAGCGCGCCATGTTCAAATCAGCCAATGGCTGATAGATGGGCTTACCACGAGTGATTTTTGGGCTTATTCCGCGATTTGTCGAGAAGAGAAAGCAATTTATAGCTGACTTTGATCATTTATTGTGAATTCCAGGCCACGTGCTGCGCTACAATTATTGGCTCGCGTGTTGTCGGGAGCCTCTACTACCGATCGGCAGTGCTTTCTGACCATGCTCAATAAGTGTTGCAGGGCCCCTTTAAGTCCACATGAAAGCACGTGAATTTTCTGGCTAGTTTATTTTTTGGCAGCATGAAAATTTTTCTTGCTAACAAGACTCCAAATAGACATGTATGAATAGAATTTCATGGGGAATAATAATTCCCGAGTTACATTCAATATATCGTCAATGTCTATAACCCATTTTGGTAAGGCAAAAGTTGACTGTATAAAAAAATTATTTAAGGTTCCCCGAGGCTTGGAAATATCTCTAATGCACTTGACGACCCTGACGTGAACTCAAACCTGATGAAAAAAAAAACACACACAAACATACACCAAGAGATTCAATGTGCACACTGAAACGAACACTGAGGCAAGGAATACAATGACTGCAGATGTCTATTACCACACAAGCTCACTTCCCACACCTACTTAAAGACCTTGAAGACATTCCAAGACCCCTTTCAAAATTTTTGAATTGACACACGTAAAACATTCCCCAAGGCAACATATATGTTGAGACCCCCTCACCATCTTGTTACTTGATAACAAAACAAAAACAATTTCAGTGAGTTATTTGCCCTTGCAATGGGTTCATTTTTGGTGCACTGGCAACAGAAATGGCACCCTGAGAAGTTAAAGCTGACCTCATGGGGGACCTCTTGCAGCCTGTCCAATGCCCGGATGTGGTCCAAGGTGTCAATGGAAGGGGAGAGGCCTCCATGGAGGCAGAAGATCTGGCCATCCACAAGCGCTGTCAATGGCAAGTAGTCAAACAGGTCTGTGAAGTACTTCCACACGTTGGCATTGCCGTACTTGCGCAAGCACTCATCGTAGAAGCCATACACTTGAGTGATCTGTCGACTTTCATGGTTTCCCCGCAAAATGGTGATCCGCTCCCGGTACCGCACCTGGTTTGCACCATCATACAAACATAAGTGACCGGCAACATTTTGTGCCCATGCGAGCTCTCACTTGTGGGTGAAAAAAAATCAACTAAGCAGACAATGCTGTTGCATTTCGGGGAATGCAGCAACAGTGACCAGATGTAGTGATCTTGATGGTTCTGCCCCACATAGCAGTAAGCAACTTGGTATCTCACCTTGAGTGCCACCAGTAGGGATACTGTCTCGACAGAATAGTAGCCTCGGTCCACATAGTCCCCCATAAAGAGGTAGTTGGTATCTGGTGACTTGCCCCCAATTCGAAATAGCTCCATGAGATCGTGGAACTGGCCATGAACATCGCCACACACTGTTACAGGGCATTTCACCTCCTGGACATTGGACTCCTTGGCGAGAATCTCCTTCGCCTGCATCACAACAGAAAATGCACAAACTATATTTTTATCTGTCAGGAAGAAGGATACCTGCTTTACCACTTTTCTCTCTCTCTCTCTCTCTCACACACACACACACACACACACACACACACACACACACACACACACACTGCACCAGCCTGTTGTGCTTTCGGAATGAATTATTCCAAGGTAGTGACAAAGCAAAACAGCACTACGAGAGGAAGGGGGATGTAAGTCACAAGCCAGTAAAACTACTTAGGCCCTGATGAACAAAACAAAAAAAGTATCAGAAACAAAGGCTAGGGTAAGGAGGAAGTGGACACAGGGGCATGTTTCAAAAAACTGAACACACGCATTTTGTGCATCACGTTAAACAGCTGACATACTTATGTGAGCGCGCACAAGCCCCTTCAGAATGCCTGTCACCTTGTAAGCGGCAAAAAACTGTTCGAACACACCATTATCTGCAGTGAAAAGGAACACACAAAAGACATTTTTTATTCATGATCAACTGCTTTGGGACCAACTATCAAAGTGGAAGAAAAAAGCTGAATCAATTTCACAACGGCTTATTTACTTAATTATCCTAGATACGACGGTACAGGGCAGCGTTCAATGTGCAGCACGTCACCAAGAATGATTCACGCGACAAGCGGTTTTCTTATTCACCCATTATACGTGTTTAGTAGCTTGTGCTCTAAGTGCAGTTTATGCAAACATTCTACTTCACGCACCTAAGAATAGCTACATTCGTATGTCGCGTGATAAGATATATGAATGTGCGATTAAGGCATTTGAGTAATCATGCAGGGGCGACATTTCAGTGCTGTGCCGGTCTCATTACTTTAATCTTAAAACATGGCAGCGCATTTTTTGGCCAACTTACACGAAATAAGCGCGACCACATATCGCTAAAGGCAAAATTCGCATGCGGCATGACCTACGTGTTCCGAGGCACTACACCGGGATAGCTACATAAACCGCGACCGCGGTACCCGGATTGTAACGGGTAAAGGAAAAATCGCAACAACAGTTGACTGAAAGAGGTAATGCTGATTTCTTCCAAGGGAACGCGCAACTAAGTCGTCCTTGTACCGGGCCTCGAAACAGTCATGACGGATGCCTTGATCGAACACCTCGAACGTGCCCGTCTACAAATACTGTCAATACTTCGGAATCACGTCTTGAAATTCAGCTCCAAAGCACCGTTGGCAGCCAGGAACCCAGAGCGAAATTGCTTGTCCAACGAGTCATGGGGGAGGTAAAGGACAACAACACCTACAGCAAACAAGCCGTCCTTCCGCCTCACTTAGGCCTACCATTTTCGTAAACGGTAGTTATACTTGACCGACCACATCCACAAGCACTGCGGCTGGATCGCATACATTTCACTACACTTCCATACTGTGAAACCATTATGAGAGAAAAATGAACCCTCTTTAAGATGTGAAGAATGCCGGACTTAGCATCCCTTCACAGCGTAGGGCAAACATGACGAGTGTAAGACCGTAACGATGGGCAAGATACGAGACACACAAGTCACGTAAATGCCAAGCAGCATAAGTATTTCGCCCTTGCTTAGACATGGCATATCAGCAATATATATATAAGGCGTATTGCTTACCTTATCACACAGCGTCTTCACTTGGTTTTCTGTCAACTGTTTGCACTCATTAAGCTGTTCAATCCAAGCGTCGAGCTCCTTTAACGCTGTCTTATCTTCTATAGACATTCTGAAGATATACCTGCTACTGAACCACTATATGCAAAACGTTTTTGTCGCTTTCTTGTACACGATCGCAGACTGAGACACTGTTAGTGCCGTTAGTAATTCTCCTACACCACCGGCCAGAACCACTCCAAAATGGCTGTTGAAAGAAGAAACAGAAGTACAGTGGCTAGAAAGCTTTTCCTAGTATCTCCAGCGGCGCCGGAGAAACCGGATTCTGTTCAACGCGCGGCGGCGCTGTCCATTGCTGGCGCGTTGGCGAGTGGAGGTTGACGGCGGGGTCACCGTGTGCGGGGTGTAGCCGGCGTGGCAGCGCAACAGCGTCATTGTCTCTGAAATGGTACCTAATAGGCTAATACATTTACTTTATCAGGAGATTTGAATGCTCGCTGTTATCACCGAGACCGATCAAGATGGGAGACAGTGAATATTCTATTTTTGCGGACCATATGAAATGTCTTAGGCTAATACATTTACTTTATCAAGTGATTTGAATGCTCACTGTTATCACCGAGACTGATCAAGATGGGAGACAGTGAATATTCTATTTTTGCGGACCATATGAAATGTCTTAGGCTAATACATTTACTTTGTCAGAAGATTTGAATGCTCGCTGTTATCACCGAGACCGATCAAGATGGGAGACGGTGAATATTCTATTTGTGAGGACCATATGAAATGTCTTCTACAGATCCACATATGCAGGCGCTAGCAGACCGACGTATTTTAGAGGCGAAGCTTCTTATGCCTTGTGCGTCCCTCGTTGTTGTGCGTAACCACCGGTAACACATACCTGAAAGAGCGGTCCTTAGAAACTCCGTTGGATGGTGGCACTTGTATATGATGAATACATGATGAAAAGATGTGAGATGGCTATACTTGGAGTGTTCACTAGATAGACGGAAGGACGGACATATGGACGGACGGACATACAGTAGAGGGGTGGATGCACGAACGGACGTACAGACAGACAAACGAACAGACGGAAGAACGGACGTACAGACGGACGCATGGATGGACGGCCACACGGATGAACGAACGGAAGGACGCATGATGGACGAAAGCAAGAACGAATGGACGGACGGAAGGACGGACAAACGCTTCGCCCCACCAATCATCATTCGCTCCGTGGATATGCTGTGTGTGTGTGTGTTTGCTGTGCACGTAATTTTAGCTGTTTTGACATGGCATTTTCTTCGCAATGCAGTTTTAAATGTGCAGCATTTCTTTGATGCGAGCAAATGCGCTTTGAGTGTTTCTGTTATATCATATCGCCTACGTACGTCCGAGTGCTGTCGTTGTCTTCTCCTTAACCTGGTATAAATGAACATTATTATATGAGTACGTTAGTGTATAACGAACCTGAGCGGCAGGTCACTAAATGTGTAATGATTTTCTTGTCGCGTACGTCTTCAAATCATTTCCCCCAGTCACGTGAGGCACATACCCGCATACTACGGGTAATATATAGACGCTGGATATGTGCGTCACACGCGCATTCAAAAAAAGACAAATGATGCCTGCTTCTCGGCAAGTTTCAACAAACGCAAAGAGTGAGAACTACGTACGCTGTTACGTTTGCGAGTCTACACCGAACGTCAATGCCTCTGCGAAGGCAATCTTTGTCAAGGCCAGCGGTCGAACCCGCCTGACGCGATCAACTCAACGACGTCATCAAGCGGCGGCGCCGGTCTGTCACGCAACGCACAGCGAGCTCCCTCAGCCCACGAGCCCGTTCAAGCAATTGGCGCCTTCCAGTCTGGCGAGTCTTACGCAATGCGTGGCGGCGTCACTCGTCCTTGGGTGCAACCACGCGCAGCGGCGGGCCCCATTGGAGGATTCTGACATCACGGCCAGCGGCGCTTCTGGTTGGACGTTGGTGACTCAAAGGATCCACCCGGTGCCTATGAAAAAGGCCCTGCGGCGCGGCGCCGGCAGTAGACCTATGTGTCAGAGAAGCCTCTCGTTGCTTCGAGTCTCCACGCAGTTGTCGCGCTCGGTGTCCTTGGCAGCGGCGAGTTTGGTGGTGTCCTTCGTAACCTCGTCGGCGGTGCGCTCGGTAACAGTGAGAGAAGCAGACGGATGCGTGCGAGAGAAGACATCTCGGCGCTTCGAGTCCCTAAGCTGTCAGCCCCAGTGCAGAATTTGTAACGCCTCTATTCCTATGCTGTACATAAACCTTGCCTTAACTCACCGTCGTCTCGTCCGCTCGTCTATTAGCTCTGCGCAGAAGCAGTCGGGAGCTGAGTAACACACGTACGCTACCAAACGGCTGGTGACCCAGGCGGCGGAGTTAGGAGCAGTGGCGCCTTCGGGACCGTGTTGGCGTCACGGCTTCGTAACAATACATACATCTGGAGTGACATATCGCAGACAACTATAATGCAATGAGTGTTACACATACACTTCTGTGACTCTATACTTAATGATTGCATGTGTTGCAAGTACCGTAGCATGCAGTACACCCGATGGAACTTGCGTATGTGGTTTAGCGTGTGTAGCCATGATAAAAGATCGCACGCTGGCCTTTAGGCGCCGTTGAATTCCATGTCCCTCGTGAATTCGATAAACTACTAATGAACTCAAAAGCATATGTGTACATCTCGTAACGCTTTGCTCAAAGCACAAAATCTAGCGTCGCATGAACTCGATTTCCGGTATGTGTATAAGATCCACCATTTTTTCCCGCCATTTTCTTAGTCCCATACCATCAAACTTTACCCCTCCCCCAACACACGCACTTACATGAAGGCGAATGTTACATCGGGCAATTAAAGGCTGGAATGCTCGATTGGTTAGCACCGGAGTGATATAAAGCAACACGATAAAGAAAAAAAAGAGGCAGATAAGAAACAAGCCTCACCATTCTTTTGCTACTTCAAAGCTGCCTCTACCATATCTGTTGACTTGGAAAGGGACCCGCCTCATTGTATCCGTGATAATATCTTAGGTTTAGGTCCCGAAGGGTGTTTCAGGAAATGTGTCCAATATTGTTTAAAAATAAAAAAAGACGCTATTTGCTCGTTGCCTTGACAATTGGTTTTTCTGTAACAACATGCATCTTAAGATGGTTAAAGACATAATTTTAAACGGTAATCAATAAAGCTAAATTAATTACATTTTTAATTAGCGGAGTTCGGCTGTTAAGTCAACAGGGAGAATTGAAGTCCTCGATGCGAAAAACCTATCCACTTTGAGATTTCAGGAAAGCGGCCTCTAGTAACAACTACGAAATAATGAAAATTCTCCTAAATCCTACGGTAAAACAGAAACCAACGGGCTGAAGAGCGCAACAGGCAGACGACCACAATGACGTTGCTGTTCAAAGCAGCGGTTACGGGGATGCAGTTCTTCCCCGTTCGATAACGTATGAGCTTCATGCGTGCTGTTATTGCGGGCGCAGCACATGCACCCACACAGCGAAGTCGGTTGATATAACAATGCTCGCACATTTCAGTTGCTCTCTTTCGCGTTTCGGTTTCACCGCAGACTTATCAATTCGCAGTTATTACAAGAGGCTGCTTTTCCAAAATATCAAAGCGGCAATCGGTTTTTTCGGACTCCAGTTATCTCATTTGACTTGACCTATCTTCACAAAGTAAAGAGTTCAGTATTTCAACTCTCCTGATTACCGTTTCAAATATTATCTTCCAACCCGGGCCTCTGGCGTTTCGGCTTCGTCGAAATGTGACAGCGTCGTACTGGTCGGGATCAAACCCTCGTTTTTCGGACTTCAGTTATCTCATTTGACTTGACCTATCTTCACAAAGTAAAGAGTTCATTATTTCAACTCTCCTGATTCCCGTTTCAAATATTATCTTCCATGCAGCGACGACGTTCTTTATGGCGAGCTGATAAGATTAACAAGTATATGCGTGGGGTAGAAGAAATGGGAACAATCTCATGTCTGCATATATTCTTCGCCGACGAAAACTTAAAAGAAAAAAACGAGCTACAGGAGCTCGGTTACGGTCATCCGTCTCCTGTTGAACTTGGATCTGACACTGATGTTTTGGTAGCTGTTGCAATTTCATTCCGTGCTGCGTTTTAAAGTTAACCTCGCATTATGCTCGTGTACAGCTGAAAGTCGTTCTAACCGCTCCTACGGACAATGCCTGAAAAGAAACAGAGTACTTGTTTTGTGTCGATCGTCATGCAAACGGAAGTCGCGCGAAGAAAAGGTGTTTCTCTATTCAAAGATCGTGCGGTATTAGTACAGCTGCAAGAGCAGGCGTACAACATCAGGAGAAATTCCTAAGTGAACATATATTCTATTTCACTGTTTATTTATTCTTACTTTTAATTATTTTCGATTTCATCGATATGCGCCTTTCTTTTCACTGCACTGTTTACTCACAGTATGTGCCGAAACTGTTCTTGCGTCTTTATTAGTGTTTATTATATTCTGTGTTCCTGATGCGACCACAATAATTGTCTGTGAGTGTTTCCGTCATTGTACTCAAACATGACTGCGTGAAATATATTGTTATGTAACTGAAACCACGAGCATCCTACATCTATGTTATGCGCGCTCTATTATATGCCGCCAGCATGTGGTGTTCTGAAAACGCTATCCGGCCCACATAGTCCCCACACCGGTTTTTACCTCGTTCACAAAGTATGCGCACCATGTGTGGCGAACACAAAGCGCTTATACCGCAACCACAGTACTTGGTTTCAACGCGAAGAACTTGGGGCGCGGAATGACGCGCACGATCGAAGCGCGCCAGCGAGCGGCTGTGCCCTCTAAAGGCTGTAATCGTAAACTCTTTCAGCCTCGCCGCCTCGTTCACGACACTAGGAAAACCTTTGTAATCGCTACAGCAAAAGAAAAAGAAGTGTAAAAAAATAACGGCTGTGTAAATAACGTTGACCTAAATAAATTATAAAAAATAATATATTTTATTCATAGTGTAACAATATTTTTGGAGCAATAATTTAATTTTGCTGTAATCCTCTCGCGGCGGCACTTTGGTGCGGTCCTTTCTGGCTCAATGGTGGAAGAGAAGGTGTAGGGCTTCTTTCGGAGGTTCTCTAATCCAGCGCAATCACCGAAAGAAAGCAACTTTCTGAAAATGTCTGAGCAGTTGGAGTTGAAAGGAGTCCTAAGGGGTCACAATGGATGGGTGACTCGTATTGCGACTAACCCGAAATTTCCTGA